TTCAGGCCCTGGTAAAGTTTGTAAAGGAACAGGATGGGGGAGCTGAAGGGCCAGCACCTTCTCACCTGCAGGCCCCCCTCAGTGCTTGGGTGGCTTGTCCCCTTCTGCCTGGGGAGGAAAAGACAAGAAAAAAGGACACTTTCCTTAGAGTTCCACCCAGCTGGAAGGCAGCACCTCACCCTGGACCTGAGCTGAGGCCAGAGTCATAGAAGAACATCTTTGTCCTGGGTCCCCAGAAATGCTCTCGACTCACCCCACATCAAACACCACCAGCCAAGGGGCCCTGGGAAACCACTTGGGGCTGCCATGTTGAGTGAAAAAAGAGGACCTGAAGCTGAAGAGACTTGGAGGCAGGACTCTGATGCTGGAGACTAAGTGGGGCCCTTACACCCAAGGGGGACTGTTCTCCAGGCCCATCTCTGGGTCAGCTCTGCAGGGCCCAACACTGCCCAGCCTGGTGCACAGCAGGGGTTCAGTCATACTCAAAGAAGTGAGATCACAGGGACAAGGGTATGAGGCCCACCCAATCTCAGCACCACACCCACTGCCAGTCTAAATTTGCATCCTGCTGGAGTTGGGTTATGACATGTTCCCACCAAGCAGAGAAGTCAGTCTCCCCACCCAGTTTGAGTAGCTAAGTCCAGGGAACCCTATGAAGCAGGAAGGAACTGGACAAAGGTGCCAGCCAGTTCCCTTGATTGTAAGGTACCAATCCCATCCCTTGCTTGACTGCTCCTGGTGGGTCACCATAGACTCTCCTTGAAGGCAGCTTAGCTGATGGCCCCACCCCCATCTTCACGCCTCCTGCTGATACCTCTGCAGGTTCTCCACTCCCACCCCTCTTTCAGGGGAGGGCCTTGTCCCAAGTAACTCCACTCAACATGCTCCATGCATCATGGTTCCAGCACCTGCCCCCAGCTCAGAGGCCCCTGGGCCTGTCTGTGGGGAACACTGTAATGCAGGCTGCTTAGCCAAACTTCAGAAACCCTTCTCCAGGAGTCAGGCTGTGGCTGCCCTGGGCCAGCACGGGCCCCATCACCTCACTGATCCAGGTGATGGGCATCAAACCCCGCCGTGCAGAGGGGAAGCCGTCCACATCCTTCTGCAGCACCAGAGGGAAGGAAGCCAACAGGGCCCAGCCAATGAATGGCAGAGCCAAATTCAAACCCATATCCACCGACTCCCAGGCCTGTGTTCTTATTGTGCCAAATGTCCTTGAATTAGTAACCACAGGCAGGGACAGGGAAGGGGGGCAGTGCTGAGAACACAGGCCTGCTGGGGGGATCCAAGCACTTGGGTCTTCTCTGTGCTTCACTTTTCCTGTCTGGGAAGGCACTGCCCCAATGGTGTGGACAGGCACCCAGGAGACAGAGGGCTCCACTTCTGGCCCCTACTACAGGCCTGAGGCACATGCTAGGCCTGAGGGACCTCAATACAGGTCCTATTTCTACCAGGTAGACCATAGCAGGAGTTGAGGCAGCAGACAATGGGATGTGGGGGGAGGCTCCTTCATAAATGCTAAGGGCCAAGGTGGTAGCCACTGTTGCCCTCACAGTCCCCCTGAGGTCCCCCACAGCATTCAAGCTACCCTCATGTCCTGAGCTTCTTGGGGGAAGGGGTTGCGGGGGGGGGCACTAGAGATGAGACACTGTGCATGCGTTGGGAGCAGCAGAAGCTCCACAAATCAGTACCTGATCATAGATTCCACCATGCTCAGGTAATCAGGCAGCCCCTGGGTCTGTGTCTGAAGCAAAGAAGCAATCACCTTCCCTTCAGCCACTGGCCTCCAAGGATGGGCAGAAAGTCATTGGGTGAAAGAGAGCACTTCAGGAAGGAAGCAAAGCAGGAACAAAAGAAGCAAAGAAGCAATCACCTTCCCTTCAGCCACTGGCCTCCAAGGATGGGCAGAAAGTCATCGGGTGAAAGAGAGCACTTCAGGAAGGAAGCAAAGCAGGAACAAAAGCCTGGAGGTAGAAAAGCACTGGGTTCAGTTTGCCGGGAGTCCAGGAGACTAGTCGGGTACAAGGCTGGGAGAAGAGTTGGGCTCTGATGCATCTGCTTCTCCCACATGTAGTGCTCAAGAGGAAAGATGCATTTGAAGAATCCTGAGAAAATGTTTGGATCACAAGTCTGAGTCAACATTGGATTTTACTTACTCTGTGCCACTGTTGCAAACATATTAACTTATTCAATTCTCATAACAATATGAGTAGATTCTACCATTTCTTTTTTTTTTTTTTTTTAAGATGGCCAATAAGGGGATCTCAACCCTTGGCTTGGTGTTGTCAGCACCACGCTCAGCCAGTGAGCGAAC